AACTTAAATATCTTTAGCAACTTCACAGGACTTGATGATAGGCAAGTAGGAATGTCCTCCTCCTCCCAAGCTTTGCACATGCAGTCGTCACTTTTACAATTCATTCCAATTCTATGGAGAATTCCCTGAACCATAAAGATAAAACATTTTCAAAACATGTTATTTCTTTCAAAAAAGTAGTAATATGTTAACATACGCTTTAAAAAGGATTTTGATTTTATACTTCCAAGACAAGGGTTTCTAGATTTGGAGAGTTCGGTCATTCTTAACAGTTAACTGGATTAGGTTGTCGAAAACCGGCATTGGCTCACAACAGAAAGCGAGTACCTGAATCAAACAAAAAAACCAAAGATCATTACTCACTAATGATCATATTAACTCAATAAAAAAGATTAGGTCAAAATTAAAACTGACCTCAAGAGTGTTGTCAGATAAGTAAAGGGTCTTGACATTTCGAATCCCCATAATAAGATCGGTCGCATTACCGACCATTCCCTCTTTCGGTTTATATAAATCATCCTCTCAAAACTTAGCCTTATGGATCTGTTCATGAGTCATCCGAAGATCAAGACTAGCTTCAACAAGCGAACCAAGATTCACATTCGGATACTTATCCGCAATAACATTAGAGTACTCCAAGTAGACAAGATTAGGAGTATCAAACGACACACTCTCATGATTCTCATCAAATTGTTCCGAAAATCGAAACGTTAGTCTCTTGAGGCTTCTGCTAGATACAGAGCAAGACTGCCAAAACTCTTGAACCATTGTCTCGCTCACAACAACCTCTGAAGACAGAGGCCAATCCCAATTCCAAGACATGTGCAGAACAAGCTCTTTTACACGACGTTTCAACACATTGGTTATCCAACCAATGACATGAGCTGGACCAACACATTTTGAGATCCTCACCGCAACTATGAGGTTCACTTCAAGTTTTTTTTATTCGTTTTTATAGAAGTTTGGTTTTTGAATGATAGTATCCAAAACAAAAATAGGTTTCAATTCGGTTTTTCGATTTGACTGACTATATCATTAATTTTTCAAAAAATATGATTTCTAGATTAATTTCTGATTTTTTGGATACAGAAAAAAATACATCTGTTTGAACTACATTAAATATGATTCAATTTTTGGAAAAATATTTCGATTTGGATCGAATCAGTTTGTCCATTCCAAAATATTGTTGGTGTTTCACCTATATAGAACACTGTTACAAATTTCATAATTATCTCTGTTTTTTATCAAAATAAAATTTTCAGATTATCTAAGCTCCATATTCACAAATATTTCTTGAAATCGATGTAAAAGCAACAAATCCGTCAATATCTCTCCCTTTTCCTATGATTTAATCCCAATGTGGAAATAATTTTGACTTAGACATGGAATCAAAACAACGGCATTGTCAACCTTAAACCCTAAATCGTATCAATAACATCACCACAAGAGCCAAGAGACTCGAGACTATGATTCAGTCATAAACCAAACACAATTTACTTATCAAATCCATTTTATATCTAACAAACACGAAGCTGCGCGCGAATGTTGTTCAGATTTTTGTATATCTAACAAACACAATTTGGTTTTATTCCATAACGTTGCTCTGTTCGGAGGCAGCCCACAATCCGGATAGTACGTAGCGTGTGCCGGTGTGCGTTACCTTACTAATGTTTAGACGATATGTCGAAAAAAATATTGGTTTAGGTCAAATTTTCAATTTAAAGTTTTTCTCTCAATACAAATGAATAATTTTTATAACTAAGAAAATTTAATCCCTCAATTCGTTTTTCTTTAAAATTTGGCTTTACCATATTTATTGATACATGAAATATTTTAGACAATTCACACAGGTTTTGAAGAGAATATTTCCGGAAAGAAAAAAAACGCTCCAACGTTTAGTAATGAGATGGTCCAAGATCTGACCAAACCTATGTGTGCATGCATGGGACCTAGTGGTGGTGATGGCTGCTATAACTAACTACATACAAAATTAGGAATATGCTAATATAGCATATGAGTTGGTTACCTAATTTACGTTAATATTCATATAATATTATTTTTAGAAAAATCAAGCATTGGCCTTAATTAGTATTTTCTTGACCCAATATTTCAATCGAACAAATATCCAGTAAAATTGTGTATATTAACAAAAAAAGGAAAGTATTTAGATCCTTAAATGATGTCAATTATTTGCTTAAGAGTTTCTC